CTTCCCACTTTAAACTCCTTCAGGAAAATCATTAAAATAGTTTCTTTTTTACCATTAAACACAGACAAATGAGCTCAATGTCGTCTGAACGCCAGGTTAATAAAGAACAAATCTGACTTTTCCTGTGGGGACCTAGAACTGCCACATGGAGCAACTCCTAAGAAAGATTTCACAGCCCAGAGTCCCTCCATTCTCCTGCAGTTTCACGTGCTCTGTGGCTTATGGAGAGCTGTGTTATGCCAAATAAAAACCCTCCAGCAGAAGCAAGATGGAAACAAAGAAATGCTTTTCTAGATGAGAGAGCTGCGGCTCTGCCTCAGAATTAATCATTACAGAGGATAGTGAGGAAACAGTCCAGAGAAGACCACAGGTTTCCAAGGGAGTTTAAATCCTTCTTTCCTCCCTTTCTGGTGGCACTTAGAAAAAAAGAAAAAAAAAAAAAAGGCACTATATGACTTCACATCCCTGGCTACATTTGAGTTTTTGCAGAGTGTTCAGCAACACAGTTCACAGTAAACTCAGGGGCTTGCCTTGGCATACTAAACTTGGGATTAGACATCTGATTAGTCAAAGAAGGATTAGGATCTATTCTACTTGCTCCTCAACATCTTGGTAGACTGGCAGTAGTACTTCTATCACAACCAGTTCAGCAACTGTTGATCCAGCGACAAAGAGGGAAGAGCACTTTGTCCTAACACTGCAGAGGGGGTGGACTGGATTTAGAAAGCAGGGCATAAAAAGCCAAAGTGGACTTTTAAACAGACAACTAAACATTTTTGGCTGCAAAACTCAGTGAGTTGCAATTTAGTTAAAAGTAACACACAAAACCTACTGGTCACACTGGCACCACATCCCATAGCTGGTGCACATCTGGCAGCCTGGGTTAGGTTGGATTATTTGGAAAAGGTTCTTCCCCCAGAGGGTGGTTGGCACTGAACAGGCTTCCCCAGGGCAGTGGGCTCAGCACCAAGGCTGCCAGAGCTCAAGGAGTGTTTGGACAACATTCTCAGGCACAGGGTGGGATTGCTGGGGTGTCTGTGCAGGACCAGGAGCCAGACTCGATGATCCTTGTGGGTCCCTTCACACTGAGGAGATTCTCTGATCCTAAACTCCATCTCAGTAAGCCCAAACGTTGACCTCTCTTGGTCAACACAATTCAGTGAGTATCTGTGTGTCAAGGGAAGCTCAGATATTCACTCTCTTCCTCCAGACACACCTAGGGGGCTTTAGCAGAAAATCAGCCAAAGGTATAAAGGAATATAGGATTAAATAAAGGAAGTGGGTCAGATTAGAAGCCAGTAGTTAATTGGGTTTAGAATAATAGTCTGGTTTGGGTTCAAGAGACCTTAAAGATCATCTCATTCCAACCCCCTGTCATGGGCAGGGACACCTTCCACCAGCCCAGGTTGCTCAGAGCCCCATCCAACCTGGCCTGGGACACTGCCAGGGATGGGGCAGCCACAGCTTCTCTGGGCAACCTGTGCCAGGGCCTGCTCACCCTCACAGTAAAGAATTCCTTCCATAAATTTACTGTTTAACTAAAACAGCCTGTGACCCTTTCTGTGCAGGCAAAGACAAGTCAAAAACACGTTAGGAGAGACCATCAGAACGTGTTGGTTAACACTTGACTTTTCTTTCTTACATTAGCTGTACACTTCTTATGTCTGTTTTAGGTACTCACCTCCTCATGAAGGCATAACAAAGGATATGCCTCCACTGAAAGATACACAACAGAGTTAGTTAGCTGGAAAAATCATAATAACACTCAGGTAAATTTTAGTTGAAAAGAGTTCAGAAGGAAAAAAAAAAAAAAAGCCAAAATACAACTGTCCAAACTTTCCTGATTAATATGTTTAGGGTTTATATTTTTTTTTGTTTGTTTGTTTTTCTACTGACAAAGTTTTAGAAATAGTTTTATTTCAGTAGTCAGAATGTAACAGAATGTTTCACTTCACTTTTAAACCTTAGTTTTTCTTCAGTTGTTGAAAATTGAAAGAAACTAATTTTCTAGTTTTAGAGTGTCTGGATTTTGTGCTTTCTGATCGTTCTGCTCCTCTTTTCCCCCAGAAAGGTGGTTAACACTCCATTTGTATATTTATTAATATTTTCCAATGGGAAAAACCTGGAGTGCAGTAAACTAATCTGAGAAAGCATATTTTCCCCCACACTTTTGCACATATGTTATGATTTACCTTTTCTGCTCTGCAAAAGGGTGACAAGTATGGAGAATTTCCCACCCTCCCGATGATCAAAGACAGAAAAAGAAGAATTACTTTTTGTGACATATTGAACGTTTTTATTTGCTAGAAATCAAAACAATGTAAAATACTAAGTCAAGATGAACCAGACGACTTGTTTTTCAGTTGAAAGAAATTAGGCTTTGTCTGCATTTTCTGGGGAAATAATCAATTAATTGGCAATTTCTCACCCCAGCAAGTTTTCCAATTTGAACCAAGCCAGCTGGAGCATCATGTTCATGAACAATTCTTGATTTATTTCTTTTTCATTGTTTTTCAGATATGTAATTGCAAATTGGCAGGGTATTTGCCCACACAGATTTTAGGCTACGGATTCCTCTGTTTAAGACTGATAACTCAGCTAAACTGACCCGTAAATATCTCTTTACACAGGGAGGGATAACTTAATCACATCCTAACTGCTACACACACTTACAAACTGTACTGGAGAGTTGTTTATGTAAACTGCATATCTGACTGTGTTGGTGTCACAGAATCATGGAATGGTTTGGGTAGGAAGGGACCTTAAAGATCATCTCATTCCAACCCCCCTGCCATGGGCAGGGACACCTTCCACCAGCCCAGGCTGCTCAGAGCCCCATCCAACCTGGCCTGGGACACTGCCAGGTAAGGTGAATCCACTACTTAGGAACCATTTTAGGCATGCAAGAGGATTAATTATTTTGCTAACAAGTTATCCATGGTCCTTGATAATTTTCACCTTTTGTGCTACCGTACCCCAAAAAAAAAAAAAAAAAAGTAAAGAGGCACAATTTCTTCCAGAATATTTATATATGCATATATATGTATTTATTTCCATAAATATGCAAACATTTATAGGAATAAATATTCAGTAATCAATAATTCCCACAGACCTTCCCTGCCAGAAGGGAAGCCAAGGAGAACAAATAATTCCA